GCTTGTGGAGCTTATGTCTAATGTCAGGGGTAGATTGGCTAATAAAATGCTTTGCCATTATAATATTTCCCCTTCAGGAGAGGAAGGGACTAGATTAGTGTATTTTTTTAAAGGCTTCCTCCAACCTGCCATAAAACATAGCTAGATTTTTCTTCTTGCTTTGTGTAACCTTCTGTACTCTATCATAATTTTCTGCCTTAGTTACTCCCTTTCTCATTCCTCCAAGGAGAGCCTCAAGAAATTTAACCTGGTTGTTTCCCACAGTGGTGTTATAGTTTCAATGCGGATCAGTAGTGGGAACTGTTTCTGGTCCTGAGTGATTGCCCTGAGGGTTTCAGGTGAATAATCCATCTGCTTCCTTGTGGGTGGCCTCAAAGATGTATGTGTTCTTTTTCTGAAGGGATGCAATAGGTTGCTAGAATAAATTGAACATCTCTTCATGAGAGATCAAAGTTTGAAACCCATCAGCAAATTTCCCAAGATTCTCAGAATAGCTTTCTAGCTTCTCCTTACATTGTTGTGTATCAGTTACAGAGAAGGGGACCTTCACTAGGACTGGCCCCTCAGCTCCTGCTACCCTAAGAGGTAGCAGGGCTGGAGAGAGGGTTCAATACAGTGTTCCCCCTTGAGTATGAGGGGAACGTGTAGGATCACCGGTGTTTGCTCCTGAGTTTTAGCCTCAGAAGCATTTGGCAAGGGACTATGTAAGGTGGTCGCTGCTCACCCTGGGAACCAGGTGGCCCTGTGAAAGAAGGTTATCTATAATATCAACTTCTGCCTTAGAACTTTCCTTTACGGGGTAGGTTCTGGGAGTTTCACAGATTGTTAGGTTTTGATATAGGGTCATGAAGGACTGTACATAGATTTCTGACCATTTGCCCTGCCTCTTGCAAAATAGGCCTGATTGCAGGATAGTGTCATAATTAATGCTACCATTGACTGCCCACTATTCTGAGCTGAGCAGCTCATAATCAGGCCAGACAGTATGGCAGAAAAATATTATACATTTTCTCTTTTTTTTTTTTTTTTTTTTTGAGACGGAGTCTCGCTCTGTTGCCCAGGCTGGAGTGCAGTGGCCGGATCTCAGCTCACTGCAAGCTCCGCCTCCCGGGTTTACGCCATTCTCCTGCCTCAGCCTCCCGAGTAGCTGGGACTACAGGCGCCCGCCACCTTGCCCGGCTAGTTTTTTGGTATTTTTTAGTAGAGACGGGGTTTCACCGTATTAGCCAGGATAGTCTCGATCTCCTGACCTCGTGATCCGCCCGTCTCAGCCTCCCAAAGTGCTGGGATTACAGGCTTGAGCCACCGTGCCCGGCCAATACATTTTCTCTTGAGATTGTCAGGGTCAAATTGATTCTAATGGTGGAGGATATAGCCAAGCAGGGAATTAGAATTGGAAATAGAGTTGCCCACAGTGGAATCAGGTGAAATAGATTGAGAGTTGCTCATAACGGTCTAGAAAAAAGAAAAAAGAAGAGGACCTTGCAAACTAGAGGGCTTATTAGTGACCCAGATTTTTCCTAGGGCATCTCCCTGGAAAAATTCTTGGCCCAGACTGAGGTCTCTGGGAGCATCGCCTCTTTAGGCCTCAGACTTAGTCTGTCAGATGGCTCTGACCTTAGAAAGGTGCCAGCATCACTATAGAATGGTTCCCTCCACCACTGATGACCTACTATGAGTTTGTTTTTTTTTTTAATTTTTTTTGAGACAGAGTCTCACTCTGTTGCCCAGGCTGGAGTGCAGTGGCGTGATCCTGGCTCACTGCAACCTCTGCCTCCTGAATTCAACTGATTCTCCTGCCTCAGCCTCCTGAGTAGCTGGTGTTATAGGTGCGTGCCACAATGCAAAGCTAATTTTTTTTGTATTTTTAGTTGGTCAGGCAGGTCTCGAACCCCTGACCTCATGATCTGCCTGCCTTGGCGTCCCAAAGTGCTGAGATTACAGGCATGAGCCACTGCACCCGGCCTACTATGAGCTTTTTTAAAGGCTTATCTAGCCCATTTAAAGCAACCCTTTATCTCTCTCAACTTAGGCAATAATACATTTTCTTTCATAAAATCCCCCCTACATCACGCACCTCACAGACCACCTGCAACATGCTTGGACCCTCTGACTTATATAACCTTTTTGCATAGCTAGGTGGTTTTCTGTCCATAGCTAGTTGAGTGGGGGAAGGGAAGAATTTAGCATAAGAAAAGAAGGTTTCAGTCACCTCAAATGTGTGAGTTCACCCTGGGCAAACTGCCACTGCCAACTGTGTCACATGTAGGGATCAGGGACTACAACCAGAAAGGATAGAAAATCTTTCCCCCTTCTGGGCAGGACAGCCAGCCTGTTTGCCCCTTGGCCTTCTGAGAACATCAGAGAGTGGCTCTGGCTAGTTCCACTCAATTACCAACAGCTACTAGAAAATGGCTGCTGAAAGACTGAAAAAGGAGAAAAGGAAAAGATCTCAGAAAACAGACAAAAACAATAAGACTCAGAAAAAGGAAAAAAAAAAAAAAAAGGTCTCAGGTCCCTCACCCAGACAGAGGTGACAGTCAGGCGCTTCCACATGGAAACCTTTCAGTTTCATCAGAAAGAGGCCCTGGCCAGAGAGACAGAGAGAGAGAGAGAGAGAAAGGAGAAAGGAAAAAATTAAGTCCCATACTTTGGGCCTACCTCCTCTCCTGCCTGGCTCACCAAAATAAGTTACCAGTAGAAGGTCTTGACTGCAAGTTATCCAGGTTCTTGGCCTTTTGAACAAAGAATTGGATGAAACAGCAAAGCAAGAAAAGATCGAAGCAACAAAGGAACAAAACGGGTTTACTAAAATGAAATTTTACTCAGCAGTGTGAAAGTGGGCCCGAACAATGGCTTAAGGTCCCAGACACAGAATTTTCTTGGGTTCAAATATCCCCTAGAGGTTTCCCATTGGCCACTTGGTGCTCACCTCATGTAAATGAAGTGGTGGCCCACAATTGCTCTGATTAGTTGCAGAAAGCAACCAATCAGAGGCTGAAGCGAAGTTACAAAGGTCACAGTCCTCTGCAAATATCCGATTGGTTGCAAAAACAACCAATCAGAGGCTAAGGTGAAGTTATAAAGTGTCACTTTTATTCAAATAGAGACTCAGCCCACAATCAGTCTGATTGGTTGTGGACAGCCAATTTCCTATCTGCCTCACAGAAAAGGTGGGGATTTGCAAAGGCAATCCTCCGGTCTTTTTGTTACTTAGGCATGGAAAGTTAGTTTTCCTTTCCATTTAGGTCTAGGAATTCGGTGTGCAATGGTCTTAGGTTCCCTGCCTCCAGACCCTATTCTCCTGCCTCATTAGTACATGTGTACCTCATGGTTTCCAAATGCAGACTTATTTAGACGTTGCTGCTTTCTGTTTATTCTGTAAACTTTAAAGAGCCAGCAGAGAATATGAAAATTGGTAGTCTTTATTTGAGAAATATTTGTGTTGTGACAAAAGTGCTGAGTGTAAGGGACTCCATGCTGTGCCTGCTTTCTCTAATGCTAATCATGAGCCCCAGAGGAGCAGTGTCAGCATTGATAGGGAACATTAATGGGTTTAAAATACCCATTAATGGCTGACTGCTGTGGCTTATGCCTGTAATCCCAGCACTTTGGGAGGCCAAGTTGGGCGAATCAGTAGAGGTCTGGAGTTTGAGACCATCCTGACTGGTGAAACTCTGCCTCTACTAAAAATACACAAACAATTAGCTGCTTGTGGTGGCAGACACCTATGTAATCCCAGCTACTCAGAAGGCTGAGGCAGGAGAATCACTTGAACCCAGGGGACAGAGGATGCAGCGAGTCAAGAGCGTGCCACTGCACTCCATCCTGCTCTACAGAGCGACACTCCATCACACACACACACACACACACACACACACACACACACACACAACCCAAAAAACAAAAAAACAAAATTCATGAATGCTAAGTCTGCAGAATTACATCACAGAGAGTGGGGCCATAGTTTCCAAGTATTTTTTAAGCTCGTTAAAGCTTTAAAGGCAATTCCCAGCTAAGTGGTTTTCAACCCAGGTTTGATTTTTTTTTTTTTTTTTTTTTTTTTTTTTTTGAGGCAGAGTCTCACTCTGTGCCCAGGCTGGAGTGCAGTGGTGCGATTTCAGCTCACTGCAACCTCCACCTCCTGGGTTCAAGCGATTCTCCTGCCTCAGCCTCCTGAGTACCTGGGATTATAAGCAAGCACCACCATGCCCGGCTAATTTTTGTATTTTTGGTAGAGACGGGGTTTCACCATGTTGGCCAGGCTGGTCAAGAACTTCTGACCTCACGTGATTCCCCACCCCCCAGCCTTGGCCTCCCAAAGTGCTGGGATTACAGGTGTGAGCCACCATGCCCAGCCCAGGTTTCTAATTAAGATTACTTGGCCATGGCCAATTTGCAGAAATATCTACTTGTGCCCTATCCATGGGTCTGTTTATTCTTCTGGGTGGAGGTATCATGTTTTGTTTTTTGTTTTTGAGATGGAGTCTTACTCTGTTGCTCAGGCTGGAGTACAGTGGTCCAACCTCCGGTCACTGCAACATTCGCCTGCCATGTTTAAGCGATTCTCGTGCCTCTGCCTTCCAAGTAGCTGAGATTACTGGTGCATACCATTATGCCTGGCTAATTTGTGTATTTTTAGTAGAGATGGGGTTTTACCATGTTGGCCAGGTTGTTCTCAAACTCCTGGCCTCGAGTGATCTGCCCAGCTCAGCCTCCCAAAGTGCTGCGATTACAAGTGTGAGCCACTGTTCCCACCCATGTTGTTTTAATTAAGTGCCTCATGTGACTCTAACATGAGGCCAAAATCAAGTATGAGGGGTTCAAGATACATTCATGAGAGTTAAGTTCCACCTTTGCTCTAAAGAATGGTCAAAGGGCTGGTTCTGTTTGGTTTGGTAGTGACAGAAAAGTGTGGCTCGTATTTTCGTTGCTGTAGCAGAAATTGCTGGTGTCCATGGCAAGGGAGGGAACCTGAGGACAGAAGGAAAGAAACTTACTTTTATCTCCATGGAGCAGCTCATGGTTCCTGAATCTCTTCTGGTATGAAGGACAGAAATGGGTGGACTTTTTCTGTTAGTCTTGGTCCTTCTGCCTGTGGGTATGATGGGAGCAGGTAAACATGTGGTACTGATACCTTTAAAGGCATATTCTAAAGATGCAGGTGTAATTTGTCCAGAGAATCATATCTGAAAAGAATTTTCAGAGAAAGGAAAAAATGGCTTTTTTTCAGTTAAACATGTCTCAGATCAAGAGCTGTGTCTGCTCTGCCTCCTGGAATGCCATGCGTTTACTTTGACTTTTCTACTTGTGTTTTTTCTCCCTAATGAGTTTGTTTTAACTACTTCTAAAAACTCTTATGATAGTCAAGACTCTGAAAAATATTTCTTTTCTATATACCAGAGCCTTCTCTACATCATGGCTTCTTATATGCCATGCAGAATTCTCATCATTATTTTATAATCTGCAATATTAAAAATGTTGCCTGTGGCTGTTAAACATGGGAAGGTGTAGATACTCAAAATTCCTATTGGGAAAACCTGGGGTCCTTAGTAAAAATGGGGAACATCTAATGTTGAGGTTCCATCTGTGTTCTCAATTAGCTATTATTTAAACAAGATAGCGTTTATTACACAGAAGCTTCTGAAGCACTCAAAAAGGTACATGTTTGTGTTTATGTCCTTAATTATATATATATATCTCTTTTGTTGTTTTTTTGGTTTTTTGTTTGAGACGGAGTCTCACTCTTGTTGCCCATGCTGGAGTGCAATGGCACGATCTCAACTCACTGCAACTTCCACTCACCACAGCCTCCACCTCCCAGGTTCAAGCAATTCTCGTGATTCTCCTGCCTCTGCCTTCTGAGTAGCTGGGATTACACACATGTGCCACCACGCCTGGCTAATTTTGTATTTTTAGTAGAGATGGGGTTTCTGCATGTTGGTCAAGTGGGTCTTGGAACTCCCGACCTCAGGTGATCGGCCCTCCTCGGCCTCCCAAAGTGCTGGGTTTACAGGCATGAGCCATTGTGCCTGACCTATTGTATATATTATTATCCATAAAATTATTATATATACACTGCTGTTGTGGCTCTTGTGCCACTGTTTTCTCAGGGTTAGAGAACACATAAAGAAATATTTCTGTGTAAAAAAATTGATTTTATTGGATAATTTCAGTCACTCCTGTAAATCAGAACCAGTTCTCATTACTCTCTCATTTTACCTTGAGTCAAATTATAATCTCTGTTGGCTACCTGGTGAATATGTTTGTGTGTATGTGTTTTTCAGGGACTGTTGACATTTAGGGATGTGGCCATAGAATTCTCTCTGGAAGAATGGCAATGCCTGGACACTGCACAGCGGAATTTATATAAAAATGTGATTTTAGAGAACTACAGAAACCTGGTCTTCCTGGGTAAGGATAACTTCAACACACAGTTTCTTTTTGTTTTTCTTTTGAGACGGAGTCTGGCTCTATCGCCATTCTAGAGTGCAGTGGTGCGATCTTGGCTCACTGCAACCTCTGCCTCCTGGGTTCAAGCGATTCTCATGCCTCAGCCTTCCAAGTAGCTGGGACTACAGGCGTGAGCCACCATGGCTGGCTAATTTTTTTTTGTATTTTTGGTAGATTTCGTATTTTGGTAGATTTTCGTATTTTGGTAGATTTCGTATTTTGGTAGATTTTGTATTTTGGTAGATTTTTTGTATTTTTGGTAGGTTTCACCATGTTGGTTAGGCTGGTATCAAACTCCTGACCTCAGGTGAACCACTCGCCTTGGCCTCCCAAAGTGCCAGGATTACCGGTGTGAGCCATCATGCCTGTCCCAACACACAGTTTCTAATATACTGTAAAGGTTTCATTTCTTTTTGTAGAATATATTTTGGTAATGTATGCTTTGAATAAATGAGTTTCAGATCCCTGTTTTTGAGAAAATCTTAAGGATTTGTCTGTATTGAGAAGAATTTCTTCAGTATGTTTCATCTTGATCTGAACTTACCACATTCCTGAGCTGATATGTGTCCTTCACTCTAGATTAGTGGTAATTTCAGAAGTTTAGTGGCATAAAACATTGTTGCCCACACCTTAAAATCTAATTGCCAGCACAAAGTTTTGATTCATAAGTACTGGGTAATGAAATTAAGAACCTGCAAATTTAGAATATTTTCTAAGTATTTAAAAATTTCTGTTATAAGTCAGTATTTTGGGATTAGTTTGCTATTCTATTACATTCTCTTTACTGAGCACATTACTAGGTTGGTAATTGGAGAATATGAGCAAGATTCATGTTATTTATTTTTTAATAAAACAGGTATTGCTGTCTCTAAGCCAGACCTGATCACCTGTCTGGAGCAAGAAAAAGAGCCTTTAACTATGCAGAGACATGAGATGGTAGATGAACCCCCTGGTAAGTAAGAGTGAAAGTGAATACAACAGGTGACAAAGATGAGCGGTCCAAAAGTCAAAGAGAAAACCAGTCCTTAAAATGTGATTTGGGAAGCTGTGTTTTAAAGGAAAAGTTTCTGGAAAGCCTGAGTATTTTTTGCTCTCACATTTGAGCATTTTCTGTCTTATGCTTTTAAATTCTCTAACGTTTCTATTTACGTTTTTAGTAATTTTCCTTCAAGTTTTCAGTGAGAACCAATGTCCTCTTCATGGCATATAAGAGACTGCGCAATCTGAATCCTTACTCATTTGTTTTGGAGACACAGAAATATCTGCATAATTTTGAGAAACTCAAATGATTTTTTAAGGTTTTTTTCCATCATGTCTGAAACATGTGAGAAGTGTTTTCTATTGTTTTCTTTTCTTCTTCTTCTTCTTTTTTTTTTTGAGACAGAGTCTTGCTGTCTTACTCTGTGGCCCAGGCTGGGGTACAGTGCTACAGTCTCGACTCACTGTAACTTTTGCCTCTTGGGTTTAAGCAGTTCTCCTGTCTCAGCCTCCCAAATAGCTGGGATTACAAGCACATGGCTACCATGCCTGGCTAATTTTTTGTTTCTAGTAGAAATGGGGTTTCACTGTGTTGGCCAGGCTGGTCTCAAACTCCTGCCCTCAGGTGATTTGCTTGCCTTGCCTTCCCAAAGTGCTGGGATTACAGGTGTGAGCGACTATGCCCCGCCAATTTTTTTTTTTTTTTCGTTTTTCTACATATTTTATTTGTTTGTATTTCTATAGTCTTCAAATGTAGTCTTGAAATTATAAAGGGCTGGGTGCAGTGGCTCAAGGGCCGGGCACGGTGACTCACATCTGTAATCCCAGCACTTTGGGAGGCCCAGGCGGACAGATCAGGAGGTCAGATAAAAACTAGAAAGAAGCTTTCTGAGAAACTGCTTAGTGATGTGTGCATTCATCTCACAGAGATAAATCTTTTGATTCAGCAGTTTGGAAACCTAGCTAATGTGGTGAAACCCCATCTCTACTAAAAATACAGAAAATTAGCTGGGTGTGGTGGCACACGCCTGTAATCCCAGCTACTCAGGAGGCTGAGGCAGGAGAATCACTTGAATCGGGGAGGTAGAAGTTACAGTGAGCCAGGATTGTGCCACTGCACTCCAGCCTGGCTATAGAGTGGTACTCCATCTCAAAAAGAAAAAAGAAAATAAAATTATAAAGTATGATATCCTTCTGCTTTGTTTTTTTTTCTCAAGCTTGCTTTGGCTATTTAAAGTATATCATAGTTTCATTTACATTTTAGAATTACATTTTTTATTACTGTGAAAAACAAATGCCACTGTAATTTTGATAGGGAGTCTATTGAATCTATAGATAATTTTGGATAACATGGCACTTTAACAGTATTTATTCTTTCAATTCATAGACATAAAATATTTTCAAATTTATTTATGTCTTTTCTAATATATTTCACTGATATATCTCTCACTGTAAAGATTTTGTACCTCCTTGATTAAATTTGTTCTCAGAAATTTATTTTAATGCTATTGTAAATAAGATTTTTTTTTTTCTCTATTTTATCAGACAGTTTAGATTTATGGAACCCTAACTTGTATGTTAGTTTTATATTTTTCTAATTTACTGAGTGTATTTACAAGTTTTAATGTACTGTTTATGTTTATATATATATAATCGTATGAGCTACAGCTAGCAACTTTTTACTTATGTGTCTTCAATTTCAATTGTTCTTTTTCATTTTTTGACTAATTCTTCTGCCAGTACTTTCAGTGTTATGTTAAACTAGCAGCATTGACAATGGGCACAATATAGTTTTGCATTGGCATCTGTGTATAGAAGGAGAAAACAGCTCAAGTTTTTATAAACTGGTTTCAGAAGGTAAAGATCTTCTTTTGAGGCCAGGCACGGTGGCTCAAGCCTGTAATCCCAGCACTTTGGGAGGCCGAGACGGGCGGATCACGAGGTCAGGAGATCGAGACTATCCTGGCTAATACGGTGAAACCCCATCTCTGCTAAAAAATACAAAAAAAAAACTAGCCGGGTGAGGTGGCGGGCGCCTGTAGTCCCAGCTACTTGGGAGGCTGAGGCAGGAGAATGGCGTAAACCCGGGAGGCGGAGCTTGCAGTGAGCTGAGATCCGGCCACTGCACTCCAGCCTGGACAACAGAGCGAGAGACTGTCTCAAAAAAAAAAAAAAAAAAAAAAAAAAAGATCTTCTTTTGTTGGACCCTCAGGGTAATGGGATGCCCTCTGGTTTGTAGTGGAGAGGGCTTTGTCACAAGGCTGCTGGGTCTGCAGTAGGGTCTACCCTTAGTTGGCTTGTCCTAAAAAACTTAGGTAGTTTAAATTCCCATTTTGGACAGACTGAATTTTGACAGAGGATTTTGCTCTGTAGGGCAGACACTAGGGCAGGTTTTTGCAGTAGGGTCTGCATATGATGGGCCTTATATCAGAATGTGGATGACTGTGGCTTTCAGCGAGTACCAGAAAGGATCTTTCCAGGTCACTGTGTGGGTTTCTATATAGGCAGAACTGACCATAAACTATGGCTTAGTGAGCTGGAACAGAGTCATTGAACTGCTTCAGGGACCACAGTAAAGGCTAAGGTCTGTAGGCCAGCTGACATGGCTATAAGTGGGTATCTTCCTCCCGGCCTCTGGAAAAGCAGAATCTCTCCCAGACTTTGGCTGGGAGGAGTTTGGGATGATTACATAGGAAATTCAGAATTCTAGTGGGACCAAGTTGAGTGGGCCATTTCTTAGTCTGTAGTTAAGAACAGGGATCCTGGGCCGGGCGCGGTGGCTCACGCCTGTAATCCTAGCACTTTGGGAAGCCGAGATGGGTGGATCATGAGGTCAGGAGATCGAGACCATCCTGGCTAACACGGTGAAACCCCATCTCCACTAAAAATACAAAAAATTAGCTGGGTGTGGTGGCGGGCGCCTGTAGTCCCAGCTACTCGGGAGGCTGAGGCAGGAAAATGGCATGAACCCGGGAGGCAGAGCTTGCAGTGAGCCGAGATTGCACCACTGCACTCCTGCCTGGGCGACAGAGCGAGACTCCGTCTCAAAAAAAAAAAAAAAGAAGGAACAGGGATCCTGTAGTTTGCACCTGAATGAGGGCCTGCCTTCTGAAAAGAAGACTTTTGAATCTTGGGCTTTATCAGAATTCCACAACTCCCTCTCTCTTTGGATCTCAAAGCTCTCAAAGGCACTTATTTTGAGATGGAGTCTTGCTACGTACATAATTCAGGCTGATTTTGAAATCCTAACCTGAAGTAATTCTCTAAACTTAATATACCGTGTATCTTTCGTTACAGGTGTGAGCCATGTTGCCTGGCCATCTCCTAAAGGCATTTTTGTCAGGGATGGCTGACAAATTGTCTTGCTGTGCAGGAGATAACAAAATAGGGTACCTTTTATTCACCCATCTTACTGATTTCACTCCTGCTATACATTTTTATTCTCCATTTTCTATTTCAATTTTGTCTGTAATTTTACGTTTAGAAATTTAGAACAATATGCTAGAATTTACATGTAATGCCTGAAGTAAATTAGATAATTTGTAGGCACTCCATATTTACTAAAACTGTTACTTATAAATTTAGGCTTGATGTAGGAAAAAAGAATTCTATGATTTGCACCCATTTTGTCCAGCCTATATCTAAATAATGTAATTTATTTGCAGATATTTGTTTTATATATCAGACACTCTCTAACTATATTCTGCAATATATGTATTTTTATATATTTAACATTTATATATATTTAGCATTATATATATTTGTGTGTGTGTATATATATATATATAGAGAGAGAGAGAGCAATGTAAGGCTATTTTTTTGCTTCTAAAGTTGGATTCCAGCAGTTTCGTTTTGTGTAACAATAGCATATATTGAAAACATAAAATTTCTTTTTTTTTTTTTTTTTTTTTGAGACAGAGTCTCACTCTGTCGCCCAGCCTGAAGTTCAGTGGTACAATCTCTGCTTACTGCAACCTCTACCTCCCAGGTTCAAGCGATTCTCCTGTCTCAGTCTCCTAAGTAGCTGGGACTATAGGCACACACCACCATGCCCGGCTAATTTTTGTACTTTTAGTAGAGACGAGGTTTCACCATGTTGGCCAGGCTGGTCTTGAACTCCTGACCTCGTGATCCATCCATCTGCCTCGGCCTCCCAAAGTTCTGATACAGATGTGAGCCACTGAGCCTGGCTCAAAATTGTCTTTTTTTTTTTTTTTTTTTGAGATGGAGTTTTGCTCCTGTTGCCTAGGCTGGAGTGCAATGGTGTGATCTCCATCCACCACAACCTCTGCCTCCCGGGTTCAAGTGATTCTCCTGCTTCAGCCTCCCGAGCAGCTGGGATTACAGGCATGCACCACCACGCCCAGCTAATTTTTGTATTTTTAGTAGAGACGAGGTTTCTCCATGTGGTAGGCTGGTCTCCAACTCCCGACCTCAGGTGATCCACCTGCCTCCCAGAGTACTGGGATTACAAGGCGTGAGCTACCATGCCTGGTGAGATAGTCTTATTTTCACCATGTGTTTAATAATAAATATATATTTCTTTTGTGCGAGAGAAACACTTTCGTGATTTGAAGATAATTTATGTAGAGATTTATAATTCTGTATTTTTTCCAGTTTTTCTTTTAAAAAAATTAATTGTAAAACCACATAAAATAAATTTTACCATCTAAAATCTATTGAAGTGTACATTTCAGGGCCAGGCATGGTGGTGGCTCACACCTTTGATCCCAGGATTTTGGGAGGCCAAGACAGGAGAATTGCTTGAGCCCAAAAGTATGGGACTAGCCTGGGAAACGTATGGAGATTCTCTGTCTACAAAAAATTTTAAAAAATAGCCAGGCATGGTGGTATGCACCTGTGGTCCCAGCTTTTTGGTAGATTAATGGTGCAGGATTACTTTAGCCTGGGAGTTTGAGGCTACAGTGAGCCATAATTGTTCCACTTTACTCAAACTTGGATGACAGTGAGAACCTGTCTCAAAAAAACCTGTACATTTCAGGCATGGTTAGTATATTTGTATTCATCTTGTGAAACTAAAACTCAATACCTATTAAGTAACAACTGCCCATTTTATCCTCTCTCCAGTCTTTGACAAACACCGTTGCACTTTCAGTGTAACTAATTAAGATATCTCATATAAGTGGAGTCATATAGTATCCATCATTTTGTTACTGGCTTACTTCAGGTGACATAATATTCTCAAAGTTTTATCTTAAAATGTGACAAGATTTATTTAAGGCTGAATAATCCATTTGTGTGTGTATGTGTGTGTGAGTGTGTGTGTGTGTGTGTGTGTATGTACATATACTTTTTTTTTTTTTTTTTCAGATGGAGTCTCACTTTGTCACCCAGGTTGGAGTGCAGTAGCACTATCTCGGCTCACTGCAACCTCTGCCTCCTGGGTTCAAGTGATTCTCCTACCTCAGCCTCCTATGTAGCTGGGACCAGAGGCACATGCCACCACACCCAGCTAATTTTTGTATTTTTAATAGAGAAGGGGTTTCACCATGTTGGCCAGGCTGACCTCAGGTAATCTGCCCAAACTCCTGATCTCAGGTAATCTGCCCACCTTAGCCTCCCAAAGTGCTAGGATTATAGGCGTGAACTGCTAATGGGATTTTTATAGAGATTATGTTGAATTTGTTCACCACTTTTGGTTGCATTGACATTTTTGAAAAATTAAGTGTTTTGGCCCTTGAGCCAAGAATATGTTGAAGACTGTGTTTTATTTTGACATATTTTTCAATTTGCCAATTTTATTTTTGCTTTTAATTTTTTGTTTTATTCACTTTTGGTCAGAAAATGTTTATAATTTTTATCTTCCTAAATTTATTTATTGTTGCTGTTTGAGAGAAGATTTTACTGTGTCACTCAGGCTGGAGTGCAATGGCATAATTTTGGCTCACTGCAGCCATAACCTCCCAGGCTCAAGTGATCATTTTACCTCAGTCTCCCAAGTAGCTGGCACTACAGACGTGTCATGGCTACTACCATGCCTGGCTAATTTTTTGATTATTTGTAGGAACAGTGTCTTGCTATGTTGCCCAGACTGCTGTCAAATTTCTGGCCCAGCTGGGTCTTCCAAAGTGTTGAGATTGTAGGCATGAGCCACTGCACCTAACCAGCATTCTTAAATTTAATAAGACTTGGTTTGTGTCCTAACAGAATACACCAGGTGCAAGTAAGAATATTGTGTATTCTCTTGATTTTGATTTAAAAGGTTTGTACAGGTCTCTTAAGCCTATTTGGTCTGTGATGTGGCTTGGATGTCTATGTTCTCCAAACCTCGTATTGCAATGTAATCATCATTGTTGATTTGGGTCCTGATGGAAGGTGAATATGGGACTGGGAGGTGCTTAGGTCATGAGGGAAAGTTCCTCATGAATAGCTTCGCACTATCCTCTTGATAATCAGTAAGTTTAAACTCTGTTAATTCAAGTAAGAGCTGGTTCATTTAAAAAAAAAAAAAAAGAAACCTGGCTTCTTTATCACACTTGCTTTGTATCTTACCATGTGATGTGTTCAGTTAATCTGTGCATTCCACTATGATTGTAGGCTTCCTGAGACCCTTGCCAGAAGCAGATGCTGGCACACACTTTTTGTACAATCTGCCAAACTGTGAGCCAAATAAACCTTTTTTCTTTATAAATTATTCACTCTCAGGTATTCCTCTATATGTAAGTAATTGAAGTTTGCAATTTACTTTTTTTTTTATGAGACAGAGTCTTGCTTTGTCACTCAGACTGGAGTGTAATGGTGCGATTTTGGCTCACTGCAACGTTAGCCTCCCGAGTTCAAGCAATTCTCCTGCCTCAGCCTCCCAATTAGCTGGGACTACAGGCTCCCACCACCATGCCCAGCTAATTTTTTTTTGTATTCTTAGTAGAGACTGTGTTTCACTATATTGGCCAGGCTGGTCTTGAACTCCTGACCTCGTGATCCGCCCGCCTCAGCCTCCCAAAGTGCTGGGAGTATGGGTGTGAGTCACCACACCTGGCTGCAATTTACTTCTAAAAACATTACGTTATATTGGGGAGTAGAAAAAGCTGTGTTGGGTAAATGTGACAGAATTTTTTTTTTCTATGTGGCTCTTTGCCTTGTGCTTACCTGGGGCAATGTATACACTTACTTATGGCCTGTGGTGCCATCTTGCTTATGTAGTTTGTGTAATTTTATAAGTTAGGTTTGGAAAGTATATTTATCTGAGTCTGTAAAGTAATGTGTTATTTTTATTTCTTTCAGTAATGTGTTCTCATTTTGCCCAAGAGTTTTGGCCAGAGCAGAACATAAAGGATTCTTTTGAAAAAGTGGCACTGAGAGGATATGAAAAATGTGGAAATGATAATCTTCAGTTAAAAGGCTGTAAAAGTGTGGATGAATGTAAGGTGTACAAAGGAGGTTATAATGGACTTAACCAATGTTTACCAGCTACGCAGAGCAAAATGTTTCAATGTGATAAATATGTGAAAGTCTTTAATAAATTTTCACATTCAGATAGACATAAGATAAAACATGTGGAAAATAAACCTTTCAAATGTAAAGAATGTGGCAAATCATTTTGCATTCTTTCACACCTAACTCAACGTAAAAGAAATTATACCAAGGTGAATTTCTGCAAATGTGAAGAATGTGAAAAAGCTTTTAACCAATTTTCAAAGTTTACTAAACATAAAAGAATTTATACTTGTGAGAAACTCTACAGATGTCAAGAATGTGACAAAACTTTTAACCAATTCTCAAACCTGACTGAATATAAAAAAGATTATACTCGAGAGAAACCATATAAATGTGAAGAATGTGGCAAAGCCTTTAACCAGTCCTCACACCTTACTACACATAAGATAATTCATACAGGAGAGAAACCCTACAAATGTGAAGAATGTGGCAAAGCCTTTAACCAGTTCTCAAATCTTACTACACATAAAAAAATTCATACTGGAGAGCAACCCTACATATGTGAAGAATGTGGCAAGGCTTTTACCCAATCCTCAACCCTTACTACACATAAGAGGATTCATACTGGAGAGAAACCCTACAAATGTGAAGAATGTGGAAAAGCTTTTAACCGATCCTCAAAACTTACTGAACATAAAAACATTCATACTGGAGAGCAACCCTACAAATGTGAAGAATGTGGCAAAGCTTTTAACCGATCCTCAAATCTTACAGAACATAGGAAAATTCATACTGAAGAGAAACCCTACAAATGTAAAGAATGTGGCAAAGCTTTTAAACACTCCTCAGCCCTTACTACACATAAGAGAATTCACACTGGAGAGAAGCCCTACAAATGTGAAGAATGTGGCAAAGCTTTTAACCGATCCTCAAAACTTACTGAACATAAGAAACTTCATACTGGAAAGAAACCCTACAAATGTGAAGAATGTGGCAAAGCTTTTATCCAGTCCTCAAAACTTACTGAACATAAGAAAATTCATTCTGGAGAGATACCCTACAAGTGTGAAGAATGTGGCAAAGCTTTTAAACACTCCTCATCCCTTACTACACATAAGAGAATTCATACTGGGGAGAAACCCTACAAATGTGAAGAATGTGGCAAAGCTTTTAGCCGATCCTCAAAACTTACTGAACATAAGATAATTCATACTGGAGAGAAACCCTATAAATGTGAGAGATGTGACAAAGCTTTTAACCAATCTGCAAACCTTACTAAACATAAAAAAATTCATACTGGAGAGAAACTCTACAAAACTGGAAGGTGTGACAATGCTTTTGACAACGCCTCAAACTTTTCTAAATATAAAGGAAATCATACTGGTGAAAAATTCTAGAAATGTAAAGAATGTGTCAAAGATTTTAAATGGTTTTCACACTTCATTGTAAGATAATTCATACTGGAGAAAACTACAAGTGTGAAGAATTTGGCAATACTGTTAATTAAGGCTCAAACCGTATTGCACAGGAAAGCATTTATACTTAAGAAAAATTGTACAGATATAAAGAATGTAAAGTAGCCATTAATATCTGTTGACATCCTAATATCAGAATGTTGGTACTTAATAAAAGCATTATAAATGCAATTACTGTCTAAAGATTTTAAGAAAATATAAGCCATTAAAGTGAAGAAGAGTATTCATTTTGAAGACAAAGGTTACAAACATAAAGAGGGTTGTAGTACATGTACTGGTATCACAAATCTTACCATACACATTTTGTTCTAGAGAAAAACAAGCAGTTGCTCAAACTTTTTTCAACATCAGGGAACCTATATGGGAGAAAAACTCTGCAAATGTAGTACATTTAGAAAAGCATATTTTTTCAAAATCTGTAGTTTAGAAAACATCATAGAGTTAATACTAAAATATGTTTTTGTAGGCCAGGCATGGTGGCTCACGCCTGTAATCCCAGCACTTTGGGAGGCCAAAGTGGGTGGATCACCTGAGGTCAGGTCGAGACCAGCCTGGCCAACATGGCAAAACCCTGTCTCTACTAAAAATACAAAAATTAACCAGGCATGGTGGTGGGTGCCTGTAACCCCAGCTACTCAGGAGGCTGAGGCAGGAGAATCACTTGAACCAGGGAGGCAGAGGTTGCAGTGAGCCAAGATCGCGCCATTGCACTCTAGCCTGGGTGACGAGTGAAACTCTGTCTCTCTGTCTCTCTCTCTCTCTCTCTCTCTCTCTCTCTATATATATATATATATATGTATTTTTTTGCAGATGTAAATGTAAAACTATTCTAAAATTAAGTCTATGTAAATATCAGGTAACTCACAGTAGAAATATCTAAGGCACTTCAGACATTACAGTAAATCAGTGCTGAGTATAAAAAATAATCCAGAACTAGAGTTGGTAGATAAATTATTTGTGTATAACTTTAAAAGATGTAAAAAATTTCTTGAAAAGTTATAATTACATTGAAAGTATACTTTTTTCCTTAAAAAATAGAGATTGTTTGCAACATGAATAATGTTGTAATTCAACTCTCAAATTACTTCTTGCTCTTTCTTCATTTGTATTCACATATAAAAACTTGTGACTAATTGTTGCTACATCAGAGATATAATTTTTTTTAATTAGGTGGGCGTTATGATCTTTGTGGAAGGGTAAGAATGTTAAAATGTAAGACATATGATAAAAATCTAAGTGGAGAGGCTCTTTATTAATATAAGTGACACATGAAGTAGGTGTTCAGAGTAATCTGCATTATAGTGAGAAAACATTTTAAATTTTAGTTAAAATTAGTAAATTACTAATTGTACTTTTATGTAATAAAATGTACATTCTTAAAATTTTAAATTATGTGTGAACAATATTTTATTAAAATTTTATTTAACATGTTTATAAAATTGTGCATTTAATAAAGTTATTATGCCACTAGTTTTAACCTATTTCACCTTACTCAAGGGTGTAGGCAAAAGATGGTACCATACTCTTTGGTAACATAATGGACTAACATTTCTAGTAATCCCCTTTGCCAGTGACTTTAAACTGCAAGGAAGTTAAAGATTATTGTTCCCATAGGTTAAATATTTATTTCTTATTTAAATTTATACTTTTTAATTTTTGTGGATACATTGTGTATATGCCATATATAGCATATTTTGATACAGACATATAATATGTAATAATTACATCAGGGAAAATTAAGTATCCATCATCTCCAGCATTTATCCTTTGTATTATAAACCAACTCTACAGTTTTAGTTTTTTTTAATGTACGATTGTTATTGACTACAGAGCTATTTTTATGGTTATACTAAAAATTGTATAGAAGTGTAAATAAAGTCCATACATTGAGTCCTAAATAAACATTAAAATGTTATATATTTTTGAACATGTGGCTTCTCTGCCTGCAAACACATACAGTTTTGATTTACATAAAGTTAAGTATATACATACATTTAAGTTAAACCCTAGGTGTAAGAAAATTATGGAGTAAGTAGGCATGTTTGTGTGAATATAAATTTGTACCTATTTTCAGAAGAAAAGAGCAATATTGGAACAAAACATTTTAGTAAGTTAATTTACTAGAAAACTATAAACCTCAAAAATGCTGAAAGCAAATCTATACTCTTTCTACTGAATTACTGTAAAATAGTATGGCTTACCAATTCAAAATCTGCTTATGCAAATTTTGCTTTTGCTTGATTGGTACTCATGCTAGGCCCACTTTTTTTGTTGTTTCTTGTAATTTTTTTCTTTTATAGTGTATGAGGTTTTCATTATGTGAAGTGGTCAAAGATGTACCCTATTTTTATAAAATTTAGTAGGGCACACAAAATAATTTTAGATGTAATGACACGATTAGTGTATTGTTTCATTGAAATTAAAACTTTCTATTTTGTTCTTTTAATTGAAGAACCTTATGTAAGCCTACTTTAGTTATTATTCCTTTCACTTTTTATAATTGACAGAAGTAAATTTATTTGTTGATTGAGCCAGTTCAGGTATTGGGGGAACACGCCCCCAGTATTTCAATATAGGTTCTTTCTGTTTTCCATAAGTGTCAGCCGGCTGAGAAAGAGAGACAGTACAAAGAGAGGAATTTTATAGCTGGGCCGCCAGGGGTGACGTCACATATCAGTAGGACCGTGATGCCCGCCTGAGCAGCAAGTCTTTATTAAGGGTTTCAAAAGGGGAGGGTGTGTAAGAACAGAGAGTAGGTAAAAAGATCACATGCTTCAAAGAGCAAAAACACTGATAAGGGTCTAACAAAGATCACATGTTTCTGAGGGAACAAGGCAATGGGCAAAAGCAGAACCACTGATAAGGGTCCAACAAAGATCACAGGGCAAAGGGCAAAAGCAGAACCACTGATAAGGGTCTATGTTCAGCAGTGCACGTGTTGTCTTGATAAACATCTTAACAGAGAACAGGGTTCGAGAGCAGAGAACCAGTCTGACCACAAATTTACCAGGGTTGAGTTTTCCCAACCCTAGTAAGCCTAAGGGTTCTGCAGGATACCAGGGCTTATCTCAGTCCTTAACTGCACAAGACAGACATTCCCAGAGTGGCCGTTTATAGACTTCCCCCCAGGAACGCATTCTTTTCCCAGGGTATTAATATTCCTTGTTAGGAAAATAATTTAACGATATATTTCTTACTTGCACGTCCATTTATAGGCCCTCTGCAAGAAAAAAAAAATATGACTCTTTTTACCCAACCCCGCAGGCAGTCAGACCTTGTGGTTGTCTTCCCTTGTTCCATAAAAATTGCTATTATTCTGTTCTTTTTCAAGGTGCACTGATTTCATATTGTTCAAACGCACGTTTTACAATCAATTTGTACAGTTAACACAATTATCACAGTGGCCCTGAGGTGATGTGCATCCTCAGCTTACGAAGATAGCAGGATTAAGAGATTAAAGAGAGGCATAAGAAATTACAAAAGTATTATTTGAGAACTGATAAATGTCCATATTAAGATGAAATCTAAACAATTTATGTTCCTCTGCCACGGCTCCAGCTGGTCCCTCTGTTCGGGGTCCCTGACTTCCCATAACATTCAGGTAAGTACTAAGGAGGCTTCATAAGTCATGAGGATGTTTTAATATATAAATGTAGCAAAAAACATGACAGTGCTTGCTGAGTGACAGATGTTTTATAATCTATAAATATTCCTGCTAGAGTTAGTTTGTAACTTTAAGTCAGAGATGTAAAATATAAATGATAAAGGAAAAACATTGATTATGTGGAGAGGATCTTTTTTTAGGCAGCAAACTGGAATCTTGCTGAATATGAAGCAAAATTCTGCTTCTTTTATTTTCCAGTTATCTTCATTTTTGTCTTATGTGTTTTTCAACTATGTATGGCATCACAACCCTTCTTTTTTTTTTTCTCTTTTACAGCTACAATTTTCTCACTTTTTTAAAATGCCATATCATTTCACATGCTACTTTGTAGGTTTTGATGAGAAAGTTGGTATTTTTAATACACTTGAAAAACTGTTTTTTTGGCCAGGTGCGGTGGCTCACACCTGTAATCCCAGCACTTTGGGAGGCCGAGGTGGGCAGATCATGAGGTCAGGAGTTTGAGACCAGCCTGGCCAATATGGTGAAACCCTGTCTCTACTAAAGATACAAAATAGCCAGGCAGGGTGGCATGTGCCTGTAATCCCAGCTACTCAGGAGGCTGGGGCAGGACAATCGCTTGAACCCAGGAGGCAGAGGTAGCAGTGAGCCGAGATTGTGCCATTGCACTCCAGCCTAGGCGACAAGGCGAGACTCTGTCGCAAAAAAAAGAAAGAAAAATTAATTTTAACTGGAGAGTTTGCTTATCAATGTGTTTTGTTTTTTTGAGAAGGAGTCTCGCTCTGTCACCAGGCTGGAGTGCAGTGGCACGATCTTGACTTGCTGCAACCTTCACCTCCCTAGTTCAAGCGATTCTCCTGCCTCAGCCTCCCAAGTAGCTGTGACTATAGGCATGCACCACCACGCCTAGCTAAGTTTTGTCTTTTTAGGAGAGATGGGGTTTCACCATGTTGGCCCGGATGGTCTCGATCTCTTAACCTCATGATTTGCCTGCCTCAGCCTCCCAAAAGTGCTGGGATTACAGGCACGAGCCACCATGCCCAGCCCAAACACCTGCCTTTTTAGTGTCTTTCATACCATTACCATCTGTAATAAATAAATGTGTATTTATTTTGTAAAGCATTACATTTTGAAGTATATATACATTGTCAAATGCTTAATTTTGTTTAATGCTTCACATAGTTAACTTTTTTTGTGGTGAAAGCACATGATACTGTCTTATTTTTTTTAAAAAATGCAAATACATTATTAACTGTAGTCACTATGCTGTAGAACATATTGTTTGAACTTATTTCTCCTGCCCAGCTATAATTATGTATTATTCAATAGATACATTTTCAAGGTTCCCTTTCTGAATACCTTGGCATCTGGTGGTCACTATGTTACTCTCTACTTCAATGAGATTAAGTTTTTTAGAATCCATCTGTAAGTGAAATTATAAAATAATAATCTCTATGCCTTACTTCAACTAATGTCCTCCAGATTAATCATGTAATTGAAAACAATATTTTCTTTTTTAAAGATGAATAGTATTTCATTGTGTATATAT